CAAGAAATTTTGTTTCATTATTGTTGTTTTTCTTTTTTTGTTTCAAAAAATTATGTTTCTTATTTTATTTATATTATACTAATGTTAACTTTTTTATCGATCATTTTAAATATAAAAAATTGCATATACTTTTAATATTATAATTACATATATTTCAAATTTTACATTTAATTGCACTAAAATCTCATTCAAATAACTTTTTTCTTTTGTAACTTTGATTTTAGCATTTATATTAACATATAAAAATATATAGTTTACAATACAAGTTAAGAAATAAAATAGGAACGAATAAAAATAACAAGATATTGAAAATAAGAAAAGGGATTAGAAATAAAAACCATTAAGCAAAATTTTACAAGTTAGGCAATTATAAAAGGAGTTGATAAAGACTTATGTACCCAAAAAAAAAATGTCTAACACTTTCCCTCATTTTATAATATCTCATTTAGATTTTGCATATTAAGAATGACTATGGTTTAATTTTTTTAATTAAAATAATAGTTGATATTTTTTTATTTCAATTTTAAGCATTATGAATCTAATTAATAAAGGATCAAAAAAATGAAAAAATGAATAATAAAACTAGAAGGTAAAAATTATTTTGTTATTGGATTAACAATCAATAAAATTTACCAAAGAAAAAATTAAAATGCCAAAATTTTTTATAAAATTTGATTATAGTGGCATCAATAGTTTAACCAATCTATGTATTTATCTATAATATAAATTGCTACCCCAAGTATTAATTAAATACTAATTTTGTCTTTTAATTTTAATTATAAAAATAAATTTGTTAAAAAAATAAAAAAGAATATATATTATTTTTACTTAAAAATATAATAAATGTGATTAACAATTTATTTCAGTCATTTTATTGTCTTCAATTTCTTACCTTCTTCTTAATTATTTTATTTTATTATTATTATTATTATTATTAGTTAGTTACATATAATGCATTAAACTAAAGAAAGAGGAATAGAAACATAGTATTTATGAAGAATGAGAACAAATTATAGAATTATAACAGATAGTAATTATGTGTGTAATATTAAAGATCTTTAAATGACTAAAATTTACTTTTATCATTTATAAAGTTACGAGATGAATTTATTTTTATCATTCTTTTATATAAAAAAAAATTATGTTGATGAATTAAAAGAAGATAGATGTAAGAGAGTATGAAAAGCAAAAGGTTATGAATACACAAAAATTTAATTATGATTCATTTAAGTAATAAAAATGTAATATCAATTAAAATTATTATGTTATAGTTATATCAGAAGATTCAGAAGCACATAATTAATAATGTAACATATAAAGGATAATTATTATATTATTTCAACATTAATTTTAAAAATAATGATAAAAAAACTAAAACAATTTACTAGCAGTTTAAATATAGTTATCTCTATATTAATGTATGAGATAATATGTAAAAAATTTAAGAGAACTAAAATATTAAAGATGAAAGCACTTAATTGTTATTTAATATTGCTATTATTGCTCAACCCAAAAATAAAAGTGCAAGCAAGTATGAAAGACAAAACATTTTAATGTACAAAAATTCCTTAATGAAAATTATAATCTTAATTTTAATTATTATAACATGATTTGTAATGGAAGCTAAAAAGGAAATATGATACATATGAAAACTATTGCTTTATTACAACATCAACTGCCATGACACAGAAACACGTGAAAAACTTGGACAACATATAACCCATTAGAAAAATTGTTGGTACACAAT